AAGAGTTTGCCAAATAGACCAGCGTCAAGACGAAGGAGAACAGTAGCAGGAGGAGGGGATAAACTCAAAATAACAGTCAATTGAATCGAATCGATACAATATCGTTTTTCTCCGCGCTCTTCACTCTCTTCTCGCCACCTCAGCAATCATCATCCTACCTTTCTGCACCTCTCTCTCTTCCTGACTCCGTCGGTATGCAAGGTCACTCTCCACTTCAGCATATCACTCTACCATCACTCTAGCACAACGAAGAAAAAACAACACCGGTCGACCGGACGCCAGCCTTCAGAAGCAAAGCATCATTGTTGCTCTCCTCTCAACAACATCAACAGGCAATGGTCTCTCCCTTGAACCTCACTCTCTCATACTAACCTATACTGCCAGCACACCTTCTACTCCAGCTATGGCTTCTCTCTCTCTCTCTCTCTCTCTCTCTCTCTCTCTCTCTCTCTCTCTCTCTCTCTCTCTCTCTCTCTCTCTCTCTCTCTTCTCTACCTTCCGCCGGCGCTAGCGCTCAAGCAGCACCAGGCAGAACAAGTGACCAAGCTGTGAGGTTATTGGAGTCATTTCAGTGTTGACTTGTCTGGGCCTGCCTCCGGTTGACTCCTTGAACGGCTGAGATTCTCTGACCCTGTGCAGCCTGGTCTTTTCAGTGTTGACTTGTCTGGGCGTGCCTCTGGATTTTGTCGCAGTCAGCATGTGGAACTTGCACAACAGAAATCATTGAAATGGATCTTGAAGGAATGGCACCTAAATTAGAAGCAGAAATTGGGATACCAATTGCTGTAGCTATAGGGCTAATGGATTAGATTATGCTTTTACAGAAGGAGAAGACACGGTGGGACTTGGATGCTTCCGGAAACAGATTCTTAGCCTTTGGATTTCCGCGATACGTGGATGTGGTTGACATCTGGAGGGACTTCTTTGACTCTTGGACCGCCGTACCTGGTAGGGCCTGACTGTTGACTTGCCGAGGGCACCTTGACTAGAGGCCTTGGGTGCACCTCGCTGAGCCGTCTAAAGGTCTTTTCGGAGCCTATCTCGAGTCTCTAGGACCCAGGTTTGATGCAGAGATCCGACTTGCCCAATCGCTACGACCCAACGACTTTCCTGCGGTGCCCTGGGTGGCATGAAGAGCCAAGGATCTTAACCACTGCATCCGATGAAGCCGTGCACAAAGTGGAAGGAAAAGAAAAAATTGACTATCACATGAACCACCTACAGTGCACTGTGCTGAAAGGTTATCACCGCCAGGGCGAGCTGCTGCAGACCCAATCTTGCAACAGCTACACACCCTTACCTTGGGTCCGCCCCCGTCGTCGCCTGCCCATAGAGAGGAAGTAATGACTGCGGAAACCCAAGAAACGTGCTGGATGCCATTTTGTGATGGCCCGCCCACCTGAGATTCGGCTAGCATGTGATTCACATGCTTTGTGTCATGAAGATTATGAAGGCATAGCCCATGCAAGTTCTTGATTTCGCAAGTTTGATGACAGTCAGCATTGCACTCATGTACGGCACCCTGACATGTCATGTCCAGTTTGTGGACAGGGGCGGCAACAGCAATGCCTATACAATTCCGGTCAGCGTTTCTCTGTGTTCCTAGCATGTAGGAGCCGCGTAGCCTGTGACATCTGTCTACGCCGTGCCATTCGATGCAGCAACCGCAACTGCTAGAATTGGACGTGGTGCTTCCACAGCGCACACCCGAACCGGTTCTGTCCGGTCTGTAGGGGTGGCCGCTTACCATGGGCGACGACTGCTCCTTAACTCAAAATCTCCTGTAACCCAAACACTGACTGGCCACTTGTGCCATCCTAGAGTAGTCTGCTCCAGCAATGAGCATTCAGTGAGAACTCTGTGAAGTTTGCCATTCCTCTGTTCTGTTCTTTGCCCTTCCATTTCCCTCCTCTACTCCTCGCTCCACCGCCCCTCGCTTCCTATAGAACGGTATTAGAACCCTATATTGTTTCTACCCCTTCCTCCCTCCCCTTGTGTACTACTAGTAAATGCATACGAATGAGTATAATTAAGAGAACAGAAAAAAATATAAGCTGAACATCTGAAGAAAAATGAACAGGAGTATACCTCCCCCTCTACTCTGCCTCCTTTCATAACGTGCAAGTGTGCCGTTAAGGCACACGGGGAAGTGGGCAGCTGGCGCTAAACCACAATCAACATGGCTAGCCTTGTATGTGAGAGGCATAGTAAAAGGGGAGCTGCAAGAAGAAGCAAAAGGGGTACCCCAAAGAAAGCCTAAGTAAAGATAATTAAGGAAGGGATGTAATGGACCTACTGTGCCCCATGTTGCTTGCTATAGAAGAGGTGAAACTGTTTCATTGTTGGATTGACTCATCTGACATGTACTTGATCGTCTGCAATAGAGGTAAAGCTGCTTTGATTTCAGATCTACTCATCTGGGTGGAACAGGGGTTGTTGTGGTGAAAACCTAAAACACACACACACCTCAGGGTTATCGCTAACTCGGGGCGACATGATGGTGAGTCCTTATCTATCAGTCAAATGCATCCTGGGCAGACTGTCTGTCCAGGTTCCACCTCCTGATGAGTCGGTGAATTTCCGATGGAACAGTTGGGCACAGTCATGCTTTTTTTTTGTGGAGCTGTGTACACTGAACATGACAACACACACACAGACACACGACATCCCTCCAGACACAACATTTCTTTGGAGTGATCTGGTTATGGTATGGCGTGTTTGGAGAGAGTGCTTCTCTCCCAGATGGAGATATGAGGCATTTCATTGTTGTGACGGGGTTCACGTATCTCAGCACCCCTGTTTCAGTCCCGAGTCCCAGGTCCCAGTCACGAGTCCCAGAACTAGTCCCATTCCGTGTCCGATTAGTCGTTCCAGCCACGTGTACAATATTCGCAAACACTCCAGAAGAGTAGTTTTCGTTTGTACCATGATTACGGATCCCTGAGAAGGTTAGTTAAGCAGATCGTGCTAGATTTTTTTTTTTTTTAACCCAGTGTCCTTGCTAGGAGAGGTGGTTATGGGTTAAAGACTCAATAAAGAGTCTATTTTTAGAAGGTACCACGAGCCTCAGCCAAGATCACAAAGGTCGTTAGGCCAGGTGTCAGTCAGTCCGACCAAGCTGCCAGGTCCAAGGAGAGTCCGTAAGCTTTCAGAAGAAGCAAACAAGGAAGAGGGGAGCCGACCCATAACCGGCAGACGCCCCTCCAATCGTGAACCTGCAAGTATAAAAATTCAGCAGCACGTGGAGATGAACACAGTGTGTCGGGGCTCTCAATGCGGAAGCGCTGCCGCGGTCTTGTGCGTTGGAGAGGCGACCAAGTCGGTGAGAGTGAGTGTAGTGCAGTGTTATGTACCCGATTGAACTTCAATCCACAACGAATTCACACGTTCCCATACACGCATGCAATTGCAGTGTAGACTCGAAGGAGGCAAATCCACACAAAAACCGGAGAGAAGATATGCACAGCGGAAGCTCAAAATACACATGAGAGAACTGAAAAACGAACGAATTTCAATTCCGCAATCCCTCATCGTCGTCCTCCAATCAATCCAGAGAGTACTTGTTCCAAGAATCACAACCGCGTTTACAACAACCCCGAACAACCAGAAACAAATGTTCAACGAAATATACAGGAGTCTTCTTCTTCCTCCTCAGCCATTCTTTTGTGTGATTTGAACATGTTAGCTCTGGCCTTCTCTAAATCCTTCTCATAGTCAACGACGCTGGGCGCCATAGCCGTAGTTGTAGTGTGAGAGAGAGGTAGACATTCTGAGTGACGAGCGAGGACTGTGAGGTGAGAGCGAGGGCAAAGAGAGAGAAGAGAGAGAGACTTGCCTGCATGCTGAATTGAGCGGCGGCCATAGCCGCTGGTGACGGAGAAGACGATCAAGTTTGTGTTGATTTCAGAGACTCTTTTGGACGTCGTGTGTCTCACGTGACACACATGGTGTGACGTGGAACTCGTGTCAGAGTGGGCCATGCATGCTCGTCTCAATGCAGGTGGAATCTTGGAGAGGATTTATAGGAGAGGATAAGTTTGCCCAGGAGGAGAGGGACATGATTCTATAAATATCACCATATGTATTGAGTCTTCTTCTTCTTCTTCTTCTTCTTCTTCTTCTTCTTCTTCTTCTCCTCCTCCTCCTCCTTCTCCTTCTCCTTCTTCTTCTCCTCACGCCATATATATTGAGTTCTTCTTCTTCGTCGTCGTCTTCCTCTGTGCACGCCATATTCTATAAACATCGCCATATATATTGAGTTCTTCTTCTTCTTCACCATGTTCACTCCTCCCTCTTTTCGTCCTCTTCTTCTGCCTCGCTTACTCTGTGCACGATTGAGTGGGGAAGCCCTTTTGTTTTCTTTTCCTATTAACTTCATCCTGTTCGATTGTTTGCGTCTGGATTCAAACATTTAGTCCCTCAGTTGGTACACCCATGAACTGGTGAAACCATTTTCTATGTGTGCTACATGATGGTCTTCCGGGTTTGTTTGTGTGTTAAGTCATGCATGTACTCAGTGATCTGTGCTACTTGTTGCACAGAAGGGGTCCGACGTCTACAATAAACGAGAGGGAAACCCATCACAGGCATCCACCGTTCACAAACGAACAAACAAAAAAAAACTTGTCTTACACTGGCAGAGCACGGCGAATATGCATACGTCACTCATCCGTCACGATCCTTCGTGCAAGCGGACGAATGTAACGGCAGTGTTGTACACACTGATTGAGTCCCCTCTGCGGTGCCTTTCTTCGTACCCTCGCATAGGATTGACGTCGGCCTCCCGCATGTCGGACGGAACTCTGAAGCCAACATGATCCACTTATGCGTTTAAAAAAGCTGTTGGTCATGTTGAAGATGGGGGGGGGGGGRGAAGGGGGAAAGGGGAAAAAGACGATGTTTCATGCTGCCCATGACATCTGTTCTTAACTGGGGATCACACCTGATGATGTTTTTGGTTGGCTTCCTTTTGCGCTTTGCGGTTGTGTTTTGGATTGCAGCATCTTCTAGAGGGTTTTCCGGAGAAATGTCCGGCGCTCCATGCTCTGAAGGCCGGTGCATGGGCAACGGGAGATGATGCTCGGTGGCCAGACGAATGGGAAACGGCCGTCCTGCCGCTACTTAGCTGGTTGCGTAAATAAGAACTACCGGGAGCACTTCAAGTGTTTTTTTCTGGACACGATAGAGATCCTGATGCAGAGCGAGAAGCGACGTCTAAACATCTGGACTCTGGAGCGGAGTGCAAAAAAAGGTGCTGCTGAAAGGATGAGATGGGTACAACGGTACTACAATCCTGAACTGTTGAAATACAGACCTGTGTTCGAATCCAGATGATGGAGCTTGATGAGTAAAACCAACTACTAATGAATTGCTTGGGGCCGGTCAGCTCAATGATAATATCTCAAGGCCGTCGCCCTTTTATAAAAAGAAAACCAGCTCAGCAGAATATATACAGAACAGGCAGCCAAAAGGATTGGGAGAACCAAGTCAGCAAAATAACACCCAGAAGGGTTATGGGTTCTGAATGAAGGTCAACGGACAGCTGAAAGGATTATGGGAAAAAGTTCGAAAAACTCCACTCAGCGAAATATGGACCTCACTCCACTGCACAGCTTTCTAAATGTATTTGGAGCTGGTAATGGTATTCAAGACGTTCGGTTCGATCCATCTGGATGTATCTGGTCCAATGTCGGTGCATATACATGTAGAATCTTCAGCCGTGGAGAGAGGGCGTCTATCCAAAACACACAGTTGAGAAAAAGGATTTATGGGAAACCCAGCTCAGCAAAATATGGGCCCTACTCCACTGCCCAGCTTTCTAAATGTATGTGTAGCTGGTAATGTGTCTCAATACATTCAAGACGTTCGATCCATCCAAATGTATCTGGTCCAAGATCAGTCCATATACATATAGAATGTCGAGTAGTGGAGTGAGGACCTATGTTCAGAGCACACAGTTGAAGAAGGGATTTATGGGGAAACTCAGCTTAGCAAAATAAATCCAGAACAGATTATGGGAAAACCAGCTCGTGAAAATACATAGAGAAAAGACTGCTGAAAGCACATGAAACCAGCTCTGCCATATCGGAGGTTGCATGACAGGGAATTTTTCTATCTCTGTTGGCTGGAAAAGAAGGAATTAGGAGCGCCATGGAGCTGCTATGTCTGTGCAACAAGATTATGACTACAGGCCCTAACTTGGATTTATTATGTGCCTGCAAGTTTTTGTAATCAGGCACACTTAGCAGTCACACACACAATGAGCACTCCTCCTGACAGTGGATTACATGGATATCAAATCTGTGAGAGATGGCAATGACTTAGAGAGAGAGAGAGAGAGAGAGAGAGAGAGAGA